AATTACCATATTTACATGAACCTATTCCATATGGTAGATTTTTATTTATTTATATATTTATTTATTTAATATATATTTATTTAAGCTGATAAATATACAAATCATCATCATCATCATCATATTCAAGTTGAACCAACAAATACAATAAAACGAATATCATCTTCAACAAAAACTCAACAAATAGTTGATGTTCAACCAACAATTATTGTTCAACATCAACGATCAACATCACGACCAAATTCAGCAGCTAATATAATTCAACCAACAACAACAACAACAACAACAACAACAACTAAAGATCCACTTAATGAAGCTTATATTGAACGAGATAATACTCGACCACAAATATTAACAGTTCAACCTACAAATAATACAAATGATAGTACATCAACACTTAAACAATATGAAAATCAACAAGATAAAATTTTAAATCCTCAAAATTCGTCAACACCACCACCATCACCATCAAATAAAGAATTAAATCGTCTATGGAAAAAACAACAACATAAATATTCGATTAAAACAAGTACAACAAATTTTATTAATCGAAAGAATACAAAAACTAATCGACCACCAGCTCGACTTAAAAATTATGATTCAGATTCGGAATCTGAAACAACTGCTACTGAAACTCAAAGTAAAGGAGATGGTAACGATTATTAATAACAATAAATATAATTATTTATTATATATCAAATCAATATTTATTTTTTTTTGTTTAAAATAATAAGATATGGCTCGTCGTCATGCTGTTCTACCAAGTGATCTTGGTAGTGATGCTTGGTCTGATTTAACAAGTGAATTTAGTGATACCAAATTACGTAAACATCCACATATTCGTACATCAACACCAAATATAACTCGATATAGTTCAAGTTTAAGTTCAAAAGAAGTTGGACAAATACGAAAACAATTAACTAGTTTGTTTATATTGAATTATTTTTAAAAAAAAAAAAATTCTTAAATATAGATCTTCAAATAATGTATAATGATTTATTAAAATTACTTGATATTGATATTGAATCTGTAAGAAGTAGTATTAAATCAAGTACTTCTTCACAAGCTGAACGTAATGGACGAAAACATCGTTTTAGAAAAGTAATGCCTATTATGTCAATCCATCATTCAAATAATGATATGAAGTAATTATTTATTTAATTTAATTTTTAAAAATAATCAATTTATTTAAGAGAAATAAATCAACGTTTTACAAGAGTTGAATCATCAATAGTAACATTAGCTGAATCAATAGCTAAATTATCTGCACAAATACAAATGCAACGTGTTATTAAAGATGATGTTTATAATTTACGTCAAGAAGTAGGTGAACTTCGTCAACAAGTATATAATCAATATCCTCGACAACAATGTTCAACACCTGGTGGAGGTCGAACATCATCAATGTCAACAACATCTCAACAACAATCACGTTTAATAACAGCTAATGTTCAACGTCTTGCTCAAGTAAATAGTACAAATCCATTAAATATATCAACATCTTATATACCATCAACATCAACTATTTTACGTTCGAATTCAATTATTGATCCAAGACAAGCACGAAAAATTGAACAGTAAAAAAAAACCAAACAATTTGTTTTATTTGTGTTTTGTTTCATGACAAAATCAATTATTCATTTAGATTTTTTGGTGCTGAAGCAATGCTTCGTTATTTTCTTAGTTTATTAAATTATGAAGAGTATGTTTCTGTACTTGAACAAGAAAAAATTGGTTTTTATGAATTACCATATATAAGCGAAAGAAAATTACAAAGTCTTGGTATACCATATGGACCTTGTGCTAGAATTATTTATGAAGCACAACAATATTTTATTTCACTTTTAACACTTAAATCCAATGGAATTGATGTATAAATATAGTCACAAATTTTTTAAGAATTTTTTTTTTAAATTCACTTTCTTTTTATAAATAATCATTTATGAAATTTTATTGACAAAAAAAAACAAACTATTCAGTCGATATATTAACATTCGAATTTAAACGATCATTCATTCTTTCATACATCACAATTATTATATATTTACTTTGTTTATTAACTTTTAAATGATCATTTTTTTTTTAAATTCTGTTGAAACCTAAAAAGATCAATATGATCAAATTTTGTATTTGTTAAGTTTCATTGAAAACTAATTACATATCTATCAAGGATATTATCTTATTATATTTACTTTTCATTTTCGATAAAATAATCTATAATATCAATCAATTATAACTCTTTGTATTTTTTATCAAAGATAACAATTTTTATAAAACACTAACAGATCTAGAATAGTCAATCAGTAGTTAACTCTCACTATTATATTTAATCATTTAAATAGGACATCCAATACTGCAATCTTGGACAATAATTCCTATGATTTATTAGAAAGATTTATGATCGTTTCAATTTATTTATTTTAATTATGTTTGAAAGAGTTAGAGCGCTAATCTCTTATTTTATCTTTTTGGAAAAAATTTAATAACTTCTCTCTACAATATTTATTCGAGTTCATTTTTAGTTTCCAGGATAGAGTAAATATTTCTCTATCTTTTCATCAATTTTTTTTAAAAATTAATTAATCCTTAATGAATAGTGGTTGTTATCAAGACACCTAATCAAATTTTTTGTCCGTTCTCCTCCTTTCCTAATTCGATCATTGAAGCCATTTTATAAGGAGTGCTCGGGGAAAACATTGTTTCGACATGAAAAGTCTCTTTAATCTTAGAATATATAACATCATTCGATTGATCAGCTCAATATCTATATTTTTATATAGTTTCTATGATTCTGATATGTAATTTTTATTTATTTTTTCTTATTACATTTGAATGATGTTTGTAATTAAATTAGGCAACTGATTTTAATTTGATCACCTAATCTAAAATACATATGGGGTTTCAATGATTGATCAAAAAAAGATGTTCGCGCTACCCAAAGTACGAAATTTCTACTTGGTACTGGTATAAAAGTTGTAGTACAAGTTAAACACTATTTATATACATAATGTGAGCAGTATAACTACTGGTTCACATGTTATGTTCTTTTTTAATGAAGTGCTGCATTATTCCACATTATATTTATAGAAATAAAACGATAAATGTCAGTTCTGATTTAAGTCTGAATCTAAGATTGATTAACAATGGATTAAAGTGCTTCTATGTCTCTGATTGTTACGATTGCGTGACATAGAATCAATCACTCTTCTAGTCTTCAGACCCTCTATATATACAGGATTTTAAGCAATGAGATATTCTGGTAATCGAGCTATACGTATGAATTCTTTTGTTGTTTTTCCATGCAATCGTTATTTGTGTAGTCTTTGACACTATTTCTTCATAAAGACGAAAAAATTGTCGGAAAGAGTCAATTATTAATTCTATTATTAGTAGATTTGTCTCGAAATGAGCAGCTAAACTCTATAGTGTATCAGGTATTGCTATTCAATCCATCGACGAGATCCATTCTTGAAAAACAAAATAGGTCGTTCATCGTGCTTAAGCAGCAGCAAAGAATCTTATTTTGTTGCTCGCTTCGACTCTTATCCGGCTTTGGTTTTCAAGGTACATGTACAACTACTTCAAAGTTTATCAATGATAATTCACAAAAGAACAATTTGATTATTTATGTCAATGTAAGTTTATTTTTTATATTGTCATATCATCTAATACTAAATTGTATTAACTAGATTATATGATGAACAAATATCCTCTATACAATGACCTTAAAGCAATTATCGCACAATTGAATATTAATCATTTTGATTTTTACCTTAGTTTACGTGTAAGTACATTTTCTCAGTCCAATTAACAAAGTATTCACATCTCTTATTTATTTTCAGGATTGATTTTGTAGTTGGCGACTGGCTGAACACGATTTGGAAAAACGACAGTATCAGGCACGAGCAGCAGTAGCTTAGTCGATATCTGAATCTGTTTTATTGACATTTGACACGTCTTGTTATTGTTTATTGATCGAAGGAAAATATTTTTTTATTTCTATTTGATTTTTGTAAAATATAAAGAAAATAGATACTTATTTACCATTCATTTACTACCCATCTAATATTACAATCGTATATCTTCCTGTCGTATATGGTCACGGCCACATATGATCATATCGTGAACGTATACGGTCATTCACAGATGTATATGAAGTCCGCATTCGTCAACCTGGCTTATTCTTAGTACGCGGTCGGAGTAAATGAAGTATATACAGAATAGCGAAACAATAGCAAGAAATGCATTTATATGGTCCATCTGAAGTTTCGGCAAGGGTTACAGATCATTTGAATAGTAGTGAATGCAAAATATTATTCTCTTTCGAACTGTACATAAGATTTTGGCCCAAAAAGTGTTCCACATATATAGATGTCGCCATCGACCAACAGTAATCTTGGAAATGCAGTTTTGGCCTCAAAAACAAATGCTAGTAGAACTTCTATCTCTGTTTATAATGTCGAATGATGAGAATAAGAATCTTTGAAAAAGTGTTTCTACATGTGGCGCCTCCAAAGTGCATATTTTGCTTTTGATTCGATGAATAATCAGACTCTGACTGTATACCATCTGTAGAATATATGAGAGACCCTTGAAGAAAGAATTTAATAATTGCTGTTTCGATAAGGTAAAAAGAAACTTCGTTTAAATTTTATCGAGAAACAAGCGAGTCTAAAGAGTAATAACTATGGGTAAATATTAATTCTCTGAATAAAATATATGAATTTTCTTTTCTGTTTTTTCTGGTAGTATTATTTAACTAGAGTCTATTTCGAGAAATGTCCTCGATGATCTTTATTTGTTTTTTTTTCCATGGATATCATAAGTATTCCCTTGTTTTTACTATAGTTAATGGCGACATATACATATGTCTGAATGTAGTGGCTTTAAAAAAGACATATTATTTAAGAGAAACATATACATTATATTCTCTTGTTTAGATTTTTATACTCTACAACCTTTCTTAGAGAATGTCGACGACACAGTCAAAACTCCAACTACCAATGAACCCGGTAATAAGAAATATTTATTTATTATTTGAAAATTTTTCTAATATGTTTAAAGTAAAATAGTAATAGAATCTGTTAGTATATTAATATTATTAAATAATGATTTATACTATAGAAATAATTATGTAATAAAAGTAAAAAACTAAATATATTTATTAATTTGATTAGCCATTGAACAAACGAACACCAAGTCAAACAGATATAGCAGAATTTAAAGATTTAACAAAACGAGATGCATTAACAAGACTTCAAAAGTCATTAAATAAACTTGTAATGACTGGTCAATCTCAATCACAAAAAGTTTGTATTTATATAAAGATTTTTTCTTATTATTAGATTTTTTTTTTAAAAATAATTTAAAAGAATAGTCGAACAGAACTTGAAGGATATGAACAATTATTTAGTCGTTATTTACTTGATAATGTTGATCAACCATCAATTGATTGGCAAGATATATTACCACCACCAGAAGATACAGTATGTTGAAATATTTAAATATATTATTTAAATAAAATATTCTTTTTTTAAAGATAATTCCATATCAAAAATTACTTGAAACTAATATTGATGATGCTAAAGAATTATTAAATAAATTAATTGTTGTTAAATTGAATGGTGGTCTTGGTACAACAATGGGTTGTCAAGGACCAAAAAGTGTTATTTCTGTACGCAGTGGTCTCACTTTTCTTGATTTAAATATTCAACAACTTGAAGTAAAACTATTTTTATTTTGAATTTTTTTTTAATTAAAACAATATTATTATTCAACCTTTTCTTTTTTTTTTCTTCAAGCAACTCAATCGTACATATGGTTGTGATGTACCATTGGTTTTAATGAATTCATTTAATACACATGAAGAAACAGAAAAAATTCTTCAAAAATATAGTCATGTTTCAGTTAAAATTTATAACTTTAATCAATCAAAGTAAGTTATTATCTAGACTCATTTTTAAATAATTAATCAATCAAAAAAAAAAAAAAATTTCATTTTATTACACTTATAACTCATATTAGATCTTTAGCCGAATAACCGACTCTATGACGATGACAGAGGATTATCAATAAGAGGATGGATATACAGAAATGTCCATGACGGTGGTGCCGCTTCCGCGGTAGGTTTTTTAAAAAATCATCATGGCAGCGGCAGGATTTTTTTGGAGAACATTGAAAAAGTGCATGAATTTAATAGAATTTCAGGGTTTATAAATGCAATACCCGAGACTGAATGAATCTGATGGACTAGTAACAATATTTATGGTTAAATATAGTCGTAACAGTGAAATTAGAAACACTTTTTTGAAAACCGTCGCGTCAGCTTTTCAGGCGCGATTGGACATCTCTGATAGATAGAATTGATAACTAAGCATATATATTGTGATCTTGTCTGATATAGTCTCTGATTGATACGATATTAAAATATTTATTTCTAATGGAGTAAATAAATATATAAAAATAAAATCTTAAGTACGATTAATATTGAAAAAAAAATTGTAATCATCGAAAACTAAATATGTTGTTTGTGTTTTTTAAAAAAAACTGAAAATTAGATATCCACGTATTGATCGTGAAACTCTATTACCTGTTGCGACAAGTATTGATGGTTCAGATAATGCATGTTGGTATCCACCTGGTCATGGTGATATTTATCAAGCATTTTATCAATCTGGTTTACTTGATCAATTTATTGAACAAGGAAAAGAATATATGTTTTTAAGTAATATTGATAATCTTGGTGCAACTGTTGATTTATGTAAGAAATTTTTTTTTTTCCTTAAAGAATTTAAAAAAAAAATCTTTTTTAATGAATAGATATTCTTAAACATTTATTAACTGATGAAACAAGTCATGAATTTATAATGGAAGTAACTGATAAAACACGAGCTGATATTAAAGTAAAAAGAAAAGAAAATTTATTTAAAATTTGTTATTGTTTTAATGATAAATAGGGTGGAACTTTAATTCAATATCAAGAAACATTACGTTTACTTGAAATAGCTCAAGTACCAAAAGAAAATGTTGATGAATTTAAAAGTGTTAGTAAATTTCGGTAAAAGAAAAACAATATATGATTTTTTTTTCAATAAGATATTTTTTTAAAGAATTTTTAATACAAATAATTTATGGGTAAATCTTCCAGCTATTAAACGTGTTATTGAAGATAAAACATTACAAATGGAAATAATTGTTAATCATAAAGTAAGATTTATCTTTATTTAAAAACAAAAAAACTAAAATATTTTTAAAGACAATGGATAATGGTCTTAATGTAATTCAATTAGAAACAGCTAGTGGAGCAGCAATACAAAGTTTTGAAGGAGCACAAGGTAATTATTTCTAATAAAAATATTTTAAATGAAATAAAACAAAAAATATTTAAATAACAAAAAAAAAGGTATTAATGTTCCACGTCGTCGTTTTCTTCCTGTTAAAACAACATCAGATCTTTTATTGGTTATGTCAAATTTATTTACACTTAATCGTGGTAATTTAGTTATGAATGCTAAGCGTTCATTTCCATCAGTACCATTAGTTAAACTTGGAACAAGTTTTATTAAAGTATTTATTTATTTAGATTTATTCGATTTTTATTTTTATTTTATTTAAAAAAAAAGGTTAAAGATTTTCTATCTCGATTTCAAAGTATACCTGATTGTCTTGAACTTGATAGTTTAACTGTATCTGGTGATGTTACTTTTGGTAAAGGTGTTTCATTACGTGTATGTAGAATATTAAAAAAAAAAATAACAACAAATAAATTATTTATTAATTATATTTAATAGGGTACCGTTATAATAATAGCCAATCATGGTGATCGTATTGATATTCCAGCCGGCGCCATACTTGAGAATAAAATTGTTTCTGGCAATTTACGTATTCTTGAACATTAAATTTTTTGTTTTGTTTTATTCTTGTGTAATCCTGCCATTATATTATCTTAGCATATCAACTAGAAACCTCTTTTAGTATAAAAAGATTTAAGTCATTTTTATTCAAATAAATAAATAAATAACTGATATGATTAAATGCTTGTCGAAAAAGCCTATATTCATATTCGTTGTAGAATAAAAGAAGAAAATAATTTTGGAGTTAATGGCTCCATTTCCACTTATTAAATTGGCAATTGTCTTTTTCAAACAAATAAGCAAACCACTTGCTAATCAGATTAAAACACGAGCAAAAAATAGTGAATTTTTCAAGAAATATGTGAGTCTTTAGGTATTTTCCATTTTTTTTCTGCATGAAACGTTTTTTTTTCGATGACTAATATTTATATGGGAAGAAAAATTTTAAAAGATCATTCGAGTGGATAATCTATAACTAGTTAATTATTTTCAAAGATCAGATTATCAACAAATTTTTAAACTGCTTTTGTTAGTAGAAAAATTTTCCGAGTATATACAAATACAATATTTGATCGAACATTTTCTTCAAATAATTATTTATAAATTCAAGATTTTCGTAAGAATAGGTTCTAGATGCGTTTTTTTGAAATCTATGATTGATAATATGATACATCGCGGCGAATCCGAATTTTTTAAAAATTGTTCAAGATTTAGGAAATAATTCTGTTTTTTTTTTATTTTGGTTACTCTTTCATAAGAGTAATAAAAATTGAAAAAAAAACCAGGTTTATTCTCGAAAAGTAGATCGATGGAGAAGAATTTTCTAAAACGGAGGATCCATAGCGATGCATGTTATGTTTATAGAATATTGTGAAATAGATTTGTATGCCTCCAGCTCAATTTTATCATTGGTATGATGTTAATCTTCGGATGAAATTATTGGGAATTAAAACAAAAAATGTTGCAAAAATGAACGAAGCAGCTGCTGTTGAACTTGGTGCTGATATTTTAGGAGAAGGTTTGAACATTTTATTCTTTTTTTTTTCAATCAAACTTTAATAACTAACATTTGCCATTGATTATACATTAAATTAAAGATTTTCTTTTTTTTTATTTGAATAGTTGTTATATTAAGTGTTGCAATTGGTGCTCTTGCACTTGAATATGGAAGACGATCTAAAAATGATAGTGATAAAGAAGTTCGTCAACAAGAAAGATTATTAAATATTGAAAAACAAATATCAGAATTTGAAACAATAGTCAAGGATCAATCATCTCATTTGTTAAAACTAAAAGAATTAATTCAAAATAAAACATCATCAACATCAAATTCATCTTCATCTACAAAATAATATATTCAAACAATTATTTCAAATAAAGATTATTTCATTGATTAATGCCATCGTTTAGACAATTATATACGATAGATTTTCCGCCTCGTCGTGCCATTATAAAATGTTTCTATTCATTGATCATATCATTTATTTGATTACACTTGACTAAAAGATAGATATTAAAGTTCAATAAGAAAAAAAACTAGCCAAGATTATTAATCAATTTTGCACTTAATTATTTTCCATTGAACAAATAAATAAGCGCCTTGATTCGCCATTCAAGAACATCAAATAAACGATCATTATTTAAATTCGAATATTAGTCGAGAAATTCATAATAAGAAAATAAAATTTTTCTATCAAAGGTTTTTAGGTGTCACTCGAAAAAGAAAGGAAATAAACTAACATTAACTGTATTTAGAGAAGTGTGTAACACAAAACGAACTATTAAAAAGAAATTCTTAATAAAACTATTGACAATTTCATAATTAGACATAAGCTGTCGATCATATTCATATTATTGAGAAGTTTTAATATTAATTCCTTTATCAATATGATGACTAAAACCTTGACAGACTAATAAAACTTTGGTTTTTTTTTCATTTGTACTCAAATTAAACATTGATTTTCTGGAAAAAAGTCTAAGGCAAGTTATTGAAATTGCTTTAAAATCTAATATAATATCAATCAAATAATCTAATCGTTTTAATATTAAACCAAATCTAAACGATAACAATATATATTATTAAGAGAATATATGCTACTTCTAATTTTTCTATAAGTTATATTAATTTGAATAGATCAGAGATATGCGCTTTTTTCTAATAGTCTACTATTTTCTTTGCCTTATCTGATCATTTTTTTCATTGTTCAACTTAACTATCTCGATGAAAAACTTTACTTTTCAATGGTTATTTTCTTTTAATGATAAAACTGTCGATTGTTTTTCGTAATGACTAATTTTCTAAGGTATCATGAAGATAAGTCATAAACACGATTTTATATTCCCATAGAGTATGAAAAACTATACATAAACATATATTTTTTCGCACTACAAATATATACGATGTTCAAAAGCCGACAAATAGTTACAATGGAACAATTGCTTTGATCATTGTGACCATTTATGCATAATATAGAACAGAATCATATGAGAAAAAATACTTTACACATAAACTATCGATTGTATTGATGGATATTCAGAGATATTTCAAGAACAAAATCATGTATTTCTTGTAAGACTGTCTTGAACAAAAGATAAAATGCTAATACATTACTAAAAGTTAGTAAAATTTCAGTTCAGGGAAAATTAGAAAAAATGCTTCAGATCACTTGAGAAGCCGGTACACCCGACCAGTTCGTATTGAATGGCAGCTGATCATTTTTCATCACTAGTGTATACGGTAAAATTTGATTTCGCCCATGTAGAGTTGATCCAGGGAGCAAATTTGAGTAGCTCATAAGTATACATGAATGATTCACTGTGACAGATGCTAATTTGAGTGAACGTTGCTCGAGTGTGTGACACTATAAATAATACGTTAATATGATTAGAGTTGTAAATGTAACTTACCTGAATGTAAGCATCTGCACTTAAGCGAACATGATTCCCAATAGTCACTAGATGAGGCTCTGTCAGACAAGCGATGTCTGGCAAAATGACATCGTATCCAATTCGAGCACCAAGTATACGAAAAAGAAAAACAAGATATTGTGATCCCGATAGAAATGGGCAGATAAAACGGTAGAAATCGGTCATGAATCTAGAAATATCCTTTCGTGTGAGAACGATACATTTCGAGACTTTAGACGTTGCACTTTTCAGTTTTTTCATTCTAAAACAGTAATAGATTATGCAGAAACAAATTGTGTGGAGAATCAACGCCATTGGAAAAGGTATCAACGTGTATAGAGCGATCACAAGACATTTGCTAAACATCAAAATGAGACAAGTGTGCGCAAGACAACGCCAAGGTGTGAAGTTATAGGATGATAGATCATTGGTTGACAACATGTCAGACAGCATAAAGGGCATTTGTTGGGCTGGAATACCAAGCCATACTGCAGCAGTATCGCTTGCCATTTCTCTTGTGACTCTAGTGAGATTACCGATCATTGTATTGCATGACAATTGTGTGCCTGGCATAAGTGTGCATCCATTGGCAAGATTGGTGCCCGATCCAAGAGAGATATAATCCAAAGAACAATCACCTTCATTTGTCATTTCGAATGGAGCAAGCATAACATAACCAAATGTTGTCACACCACGTTCAATTCTTAGAAGATTTGATGGATATCGTAAAATGGGTATGATGTGAGCTATTTTTACATCATTGTCAACATGAGCACCTAACCAACGAAGCACAGCCACTGAAAGTTCCTCATAACGAGGTAGAAGTTCAAATGCCTGGTAAAATGATGTTATAATAAGTTGTCGCAACCATATTTTATGAAGATAATAATAGGAATTAAATGAACAATATTTTGGATAAATATGACCTATGACAAACTTTAGTGCAAGTAAGACGATGGATAAATTTGCCAAAAGCCAAAACAGCCAGCACAACGCTAAACTCAAAATCATTGATAGATTAAAAGTCGAACAACAGTAATAGACACAATAAGTCATATTCAAAAGAAAAATATGAATGGACAAGACGCATAGCAGACAAATGCTTTGATATATAACTTGACCACATGATAAACACTGATCCTTGATAGTTTTCGAATCGATTGAGGATGAAATATGACCCGTTATTGCTGACATGGATTTGATATGAGTATTGGTTTGTATGTTGACTCCACCATAAAGAATACTTCGCATTTCGATCAAGCAGCGTGATCCAATGAGAATTGGATGAAGTTCATATGTTTGGTCATGATAGGACAGACTGACAAGCCGAGTTTCACGGTCGATAATTGTTGAATCTCCAACATCAAGCATCCAAGGAGCATCGATTAGTGTTGTATAGATATGTGTATTGACGCCTACTCGAGCACCACACAAGCGAAGATACAAGTTGTAAAGTGGTGTCCCCACAAGATGTTGCAAACAGTATGTGTTATTTATTGACCATAAGCGTTCCAAGAACCACCAACGATAATAACACAATGAATACAGCTTACCGCTTCTTTCTAATTGTCTACCCGGTGTAAATAATAATCGCTGCCATATCACATAGAGTAGAATATGGATGATCGGCACGAAAGTAACGGTTAAGTAACGGTCAGATTGAAAGGCCCACCATATTGGATATAGCCACTGACAGACAAGTACAATGATGCCCAATGTTTCTATGCATAAGGATGGCATTGGTCGATGATCATTTTCTTCCGCTTGCGATGATGCCAATGCCACAGGAGTCTCTCGATGCACAACAATAAGAGGCTCTAATGCTCCAGCGAGTTGTCGAACTGACGGATGAGCTAATAGGAAACCAAAATGAAAGTTTGAATACAGTTGCTGTCGAATTAGAGTGACCGCAAGAATGGCGTCCAAAGAAGTGCCACCAAGCCGCGAAAAAGACATATTTAGATTAAGACATTCAATATGAAATGCTTGAGAAAAGATGGACATAAGACGTTCTTCAAGAGACGTCATTGGTATGAAATTAGAATCATCTGCTTTCGTCATTATTGAAAAATCAGGCGCAGGAAGACGTTTTCGATCGATTTTTCCATTCGAATTTAATGGAAACTTGTCTAGGAGTATGAAAATTGATGGGACCATAAATGGTGGTAGTCGAGAACAACAGTAGTTCCGCAGTTCCTCTTCACT